GTCCTGGAACTAGCTCTGTAGACCAGGCTGGTCTCGAACTCACAGAGTGCTGGGATTAAAGGCGTGCGCCACCACCGCCCGCCTCAAATAAATCTTTAATAAGAAAATCCACCTGTCATTTGGGTAATTCCAAAATCAGGATCTGTGGCTCATGGCTTACTTACCAGAGTTGACCTTTGGGGTCCCTTTTAATTGGGCTAAATTGTCTCCCAGTGTTCTGTAGGTCTGTAGAAGCATCAGGTCTCCTGGCTGACCCAGTCAGACTACGAGCTCTGGTCAGGTGACGGCAGAATTTCACTTTATAACATTGCTAGTTGTTTTATTTTTATTTACTTTTTGTTTTTATTTACTTTCCCTTTTGGCTTTTAAAACCAGGTAGGTGCCAGGCGGTGATGGCGCACGCCTTTAATCCCAGCACTCGGGAGGCAGAGGCAGGCGGATCTCTGTGAGTTTGAGGCCAGCCTGGTCTACAAGAGCTAGCTCCAGGACAGGCTCCAAAGCTACAGAGAAACCCTGTCTCAAAAAACTAAATAAATAAACAAACAAACAAACAAACCAGGTAGGTGCCAAAACTTAGCCCTTTATTTATTATTGTCTTGTAAAATATTTTTGAGACAGGGTCTGAACTGCATAACCTGGCTGGCCTGGAACTCATTATGTAGCCCGGGCTGGCCTGAACTCACAGCCCCACCTGTTTCTGCCTCCCGAGTTCTGGAATTAGAAGCGAGCTCTACCACTCCTAGCTATTTAAAGCAAAGACAAAACTGAAAGTCAGATCTCCTTAGGGGCTCGAGGAGCCCTGTGTCAGTTCTCATGTCTCCCCTTTCCATGTTATCTGTTGGGAAGCTGGAGGGTCTTGTTGGCATGTGGCTTTCCCTGAAGCACAAAGGTACATTTTGCTGTCCCTTGGCTCTCCTCCTTAACGAATAATACCAGTTAGAGTCACACCTCAGGCGTCTCCATGACTTCTGTGATCAAGAAGATAAGTGATTTTCTGGCCATATAGGGCTGCCTTAAGGGGTGGTCCTGACATTCCTAGGGTCCTGGCTGGCCTTAGAGAGGGAGCCGCCAACAGAGCCTGTCCTTTGTGACTATTTCGTCCTCCTTGGCTCAGGCCTCCACGCTTTGGTTGTTGAACACCCAGGACAGTGTTGTCGATCTTGAAGAAGAAGGAATGAGCTTTAACTTGTGTAACATTTAGTTAAAGCTTAGAGAAAATAAAAACAAGTTTTAAAATAAAATTTGAGCTGGGTGGTGGTGGTGCACACATTTAATCCTAGCACCCAGGATCTCTGTGGGTTAAGGCCAGCCTACAGAAGTCTGCAGAGTGTGTTTCCAGTACACCCAGGGCTACACAGTGAAACCCTGTCTCAAAAACAAAATAACAAATAGCCAGGTGGTGGTGGCACATGCCTTTAATCCCAGCACTCAGGAGGCAGAGGCAGGTAGATTTGAGTTTGAGGCCAGCTTGGTCTATAAGAGCTAGTTCCAGGACAGGCTCCAAAGCCACAAAGAAACCCTGTCTCAAAAAAACACAAAATAAATAAATAAAATTTGATTTTATTAACTTATTTTTAAGTAGTTAAAAGCCTGCCAAACTTGGACAGAAATGTAATTATTTTGACAAACATAAAATCTTGGCTTATAAGATTAAAGGCGCTTTGCCACCAAGCCTGACTGTCTGAGTTCAATCCCTGGGACCCGCACTGTGGAACCAGAGAACAGACTCTGGGAGCTGTCAGCTGACCTCCACATGCATGCCCCTCTCCGCAAGCAAAATACATAATAGATGTAAGAAAGGCAATAAAATATTTATTCCTTAGCCATTACCAAAAGCAGATTATTATCTTAATAGAATTTTTTTATTATTTTAAAGAGCCTAGGTTGTAGTTTTATATCACTGCACTAAATTTTGATCTCAGTGATTTTAACCTTAAGTTGTTGTACATCTTAAATTGTTATCTGTTTGCACATCATTCTTGACTTGGGTAAGTCTTAGGCAAGCTTCACTGTCATTTGGTATGTAAAAAACAACTCACAAACATTTTTTTCTTGGTTGCACATAACCCCAAGAATTACAGAATGTTACATTCCAGCAAGGGCCAGCCAAGATGACGAAAGTTCCACACTGAATGACCTTCAGTTAATGAAATGATCTTAGGAGAAAAGGCAGGAGGAGGCAGAACACACAGAGCCAGAGAAAAGATTTTTAAACGTTAACCCTGTGACAACAGTTGTAGACTCAAAGTTCTCTTGAAGAACTGGGGAGAGCAAATGGTGGCTTTTGCTGTGGGTCCAGTAACATCAAGCTGGACCGAGCACCCTTGTCTTTTTGCAGAATTTTCTTTTCCCTGGTAATGAAGGACCTGTGAACCTGTAGCCCTGAGAATCAGGCCTTCCTTGGTTTTTTTTTTTCTTTTCTTTTCTTTTTTTTAACTTTTTAAATTGATATTTATTGAGCTCCACATTCTTCTCTTCTCCCCTACCTGCTTCTTTCCTCCTCCCCACCTTCCTTGGGATTTAAGATGCTGTTGTGTGGTCCTCAAGACTTTATTGTTGTCTCTTTATTTTTTAGTGGTCCCATTTTTCTCCCAGAATGGTTGTTGTTTTCTTTAAAAACAAAAGAAAATATTTTTTTTATCATTTATTTTTGTGTGCATGGGTCCCGCTAAAGAATGGTGACACCACGGCCCACCTATCAAACAGGAAATAAGGTTTTCTTTAGCTTACACACACAGTACACATGCGTGGAGGTCAGGGGACACCTTGCAGGAGCTGTTTCTCTCCTTCCACCATGTGGGTCCTAGGGATCAAACACAGGCTGTCAGGTTTGGCACCAGGTGCCTGGCCCTCTGAGCCAGCTCACCAGCCTTGTACTCTTTTTAGCCAGAATTAAGACAACCTATCAGTGACAGTTCCCATAAGGGAAAGGACGGTGTGTTGGGTGTCTGGATGAATATGGGTATTTGGGGCATTTGGCATTTTCCAGAAGGACTTCTGTCTTATCTGCTTATATCCCAAACACATTGCAACCAGAGTTTTCATAAGAGGCTTTTACAAAAACAGTTGAGCATCTGGCAGTTCTCAAGGCCCCACTGATAGCAAGAGGACTTCATTAAATCAGGGTCACACAAACATCCAGCAGAAGCCATCTGAGGAGGGAGGGAGGTCTGGTCTGAAGAGGGGGCTGATGTCAGAACCCTTGCTGACAGTGCCATCCAGTGAGGGTGCAGGAACTGAACTCAGGTCTCCTCCAGAGCCAGCTTCTCCCTGAGTTTAAATAGTACATGACAGCCTGGTGGTGATGGTGCTCACCTTTAATCCCAGCACTTGGGAGGCAGAGGCAGATGGATCTCTATGAGTTTGAGGCCAGCCTCGTCTACAGAGGGAGTTCCAGGACAAGCTCAAGCTACAGAGAAACCCTGTCTTGCGAGGGGCGGGAGACCACAGGGTAATGAAAACTCACCTAAGTTTATTAAATATGAATATTATATCCCAATAAGTTAATTTTAAAAGTTAAAAAAGTAAAGGGCTTTAAATTTTGTTTTAGATTTATTTTGTATTGTGTTACTATTTTGCCCGCTTGTATATATGTACATTGAGTATATGCCTAGTACCCGTGGAGCTCAGAGTCATAGATGGTTGTGAGACACCATGTGGGTGCTGGGAACCCCAAGTCCTATGCAAGAGCAGCAGTGAACTTCTTCATCATTGAACTATCTTTCCAATAAAAGTAGAGGGGTTTTATTATACTTAGTTATGTGTATGTGACGTTTCTTTTAAAATTTTGCCTAAGGTGGACCTCTGTTGGTTTCAGGCAAGCCTGGTGTAAACAGAGTTCCAGGCCAGCCAGGGGTACTTAATGAGATCCTTCCTTAAAACAAAACAAACAAACAAAAAGAAAACAAACTGCCAGCCAGGGCTGGTGGTGAACACCTTTAACCCCAGCAGTCCGGAGGCAAAGGCAGGCAGATCTCTGTGAGTTCGAGGCCAGCCTGGTCTACAAGAGCTAGTTCCAGGACAGACACCAAAGCTACAGAAAAACCTTGTCTCAAAAAAACAAAACAAAAAAAAAAACAACACAAAAACAAAAAGACACTATGACCATGGCAACTTTTTTTTTTTAAGAGGGGTTTTTCAAGACAGGCTCTCTTTATGTAGTCCTGGCCACCCTGGAACTCTCTATGTATACAATGCTGGCCTCAGACTCACAGAGATCTGCTTGCCTTTGCCTCCTGAGTGCTGGGATTAAACGCATGTGGCAACAATCATAGAGGAAAACATTTGATTGGGGCGGACTTGCAGCCTCTGGGTTTAGTCTGTTATCCTCATGGCAGGAAGCATGGCTGCACACAGGCAGACGTGGTGCTGGAGAGGTAGCTGAGAGTTCTACATCCAGATCTGAGGGAGACAGGAAGAGAGAATCACTCAGCCAGGCTTGAGCATCTGAAACCTCAAAGCCACCCCCTGTGACACACTTCCTTCAACAAGGCCACACCATCTAATTAAGTGGCACTCCCTATGGGCCTTTGGGGGCCATTTTCTTTCAAACCACCACACCCTCTGAACCATCTAGTCAGGCCAAACTCTTGGGTTGATCCTATAGTACAGTAGGCATTTTCTACATACGGTGTCATTTTGTCCTTATAAGCCCCATGAGAATTACTGGCTTCTTTAGGCTGGGGAGGTGACCAGTTGGGGTACCCAGGTACAGTGGAATTTGGGGCTCACTAGAGAGAATGCAGGTGCTGTCTGAGGTAGGTAGACATGGCTGGTCTAACCTCTGTACTGTATTAGGTGTTTTGTCTGGCTGTGCAGCCTCTCAGTCTCAGGAACCAATCACTGCCCAGACCTGAACTGCTGAGGAGTGACTGCCTCACATCAGGCAGCAGGGTTTGCCTGTGATGCCTTGCCAGGTCCTTGTGCCCACTTGCTTCACCTTCCTTGTCCTGCATCTTCCTGGTGGTTTCCCAGGGTCATGTTTGCCGTCTTCCCCTAAGGTCTGTGGCCAAAGCTGCAAGGGAAGAGGAAAAGGCAGGCCCTCAGCAGACTGAGAACGGCAGGCAGCAGGTAAGATGATGGCATCTGTCTCCCACTGCCCCGGGCTGCTGTGTGAGGGTTCCACTCAAGTATTGCCAACAGACAAAATTAGAAGGCGTTTAAAGATCTGTTGGCTTTATTTGCTGGTGTAGAATCAGACGGTACTTTAGCCCATAAAACAGAACGAGCGTTCCAGTGAGCTGAGCAGACGCTGGATAGACCAGACAGTGATGAAAGAAAGAAACTGAACACAAAGAAAACTTACATTCCAAGTGACTTCCCTGGTAGTGTGGACAGAATTACAGGAGAGTGACTGCTGGGCTCAGTTCTGCCTGCTTTGGGGGGATGAGCATCAGCTCAGAGTTGCTGCCTTTGTGCCCATAGATACCAGCCTGTTTGGGACACTGGGCCATTGTCGCTCTCCTGCTCTCAGTAATTCAGTTCCAACTTAGTGATGGGACCTTTTTAGTACAGGTGACTCCGTTTTGCACTTTAGTCTGGTGTGTGGGATCTTGTGCAGAGGCTCAGCCCCAAAGTCCAAGTGTTAACGGTATTCATTAGTCATTTGTTTATCTCACATGCCCAAGGCATCTTCCCCTTCCCCTGTCTCCGAGGCAGAGCTCTGCTAGGGCGAAGATGTGGGACATGCCAGAGCTTCATGTTCCCTCGCTGCAGACTGGGCACGCCACAAGAGGAGGAGTGGTATCAATATTCTCTGTCCTTGAGGCCAAAGGAAGGCTTATAAATAGATCTCAGCCAGCACTGGGTGGGCAGTGACTGCGTTCCTAACTGATACCGTTATAACCCGGATGCTGTGGTCGGTCATAAGGAGCACTGACTGTGAACTCTTTTTTTTTTCTTTTTAAAGATTTATTTATTTATTGTGTATACCATAATCTGCCTACATGCCTGCCTGCAGGCCAGAGGAGGGCACTAGATCTCATTACAGATGGTTGTAAGCCACCATGTGGTTGCTGGGAATTGAACTCAGGACCTTCAGACAAAGCAGGCAGTGCTCTTAACCACTGAGCCATTCTCCCCAGCCCCTGACTGTGAACTCTTGCTACCCACTTGCAACTATGACCCAGCTCTGCTCATGGTTCACACTGGGCTACCTCCTTTCTCCATTTGGTTTTCAAATTCTGTTTTAAACAAAGGATGTGCTTATAAGTAAAATAACACAGCCCTTCTAACATGTGTGTGTGTGTGTTCATGTGTGCACTTCCTGTTTGGTCCCATTACAAAGATTATTTCATGCCACTCTTATATGCACTCCCTGGGGCTGGGGTTGGGAATGTAGCATAGGGTGGACCACTTGGCTGGCATTGGTGTGGTCCTGGGCTTGAGCACCAGCACTTACTCATCTGGTATTGTATGGTCTTCACGGATTTTCATGTTTGAACATTCTAGAGTGTCGTGACATTTGGCTTACTCCTGCTGCCCTAGGTATTTGCTCTCTGCACTCCCTCGTCATGCTTTTGTTCATCATGACAGCTCCTGGGCTGGGGAGTATCGACTCTGGGGACATTTGCAGCAAGTTGTACCCCAGTGGGCCTGTGTGCATGTACATCCTTTTAGAGCAGTTCTTAACCTGGGGTCTAGACCCCTTTGGGCTTGCATATCAGATATGAAGTAGCAACGAAAATAATGTTATTGTTGGGGTCACTACAGCATGAGAACTTGTATTAAGGCCACAGCATTAGGACTGACAGTGTCTCCACTGTGCTCTACAGGTCCTTCCTGGTGATGAGGGAGAAACATGGGGCCCAAGAACTTTGTGCGTTAAACTTGGGCTGCTCTCAAACGCTGAGCCTTGTCCTCTGTTCTGATACTTAGGCACTGTCTGAGCCCCTGGAGTCCCGTTGGCTGAAGTATCTGGACAAGGACTGTGAGGACCAGGAGCTGGACAGAGGAAGAGCAGCTCTTGCTGAATGGCCAGGTCTGCCCTGCAGTCCAGCCCAACCGAGGAAGAGGTGCTAAACGGGTTTCATCCAGTGCCCACACTGACTCCTGAGGGGGGAGGGGGCTGATGAGCAGCTCCTATGACGTCACTCAGTGGGACTCCCATGTTGTACATAAGTGGGTGGGCAAAGTGGGCAGCAGCCATGGCAGCTAACCCTCAGACTGCGTGCTGCCTGGCAGACGGAGCAGAAGCCTAGCTAGACTTCCCTGGATGCCTATAACTCCAGTCATGAGGGGGCTGAAGCCCTGCTCAACCAGCTGTGGAAGCGTGGCCAAAGTAATCAGTGGGTCGGAGGGGAGGGGTACTTTATATGAGGTTCTCCAGATCTCCACGTGTCTCAGTAGGTTTTCATAGAAACCTTAGGCTTGGGATGCTGCATGACTCTCAAAGGGAATGAATTACAATTTCAAGTAAGACTATTCTAACAACTAGAGAAGAGGCTTGGCCGGACTGTTCCTGGAGGTGGTGTAGGAACCTGTGAAGGCTGAAAAGATTCCTCCCTATGTCAGGCCAGATCTCAGTTGCTCTCTGTGAGGACAATTGGATGAGAGAACTTCATGAGTGATCTTCCTTCCTTCCAGGAAATGGAATCAGAACACAGGGAAGCCTCCACGCAGCCTGCATGTCCAGGACTTGGACAGTGTTAAAGACAGCTTTGAATGCCAGGTCAGTGACCATGGAGCCTATGTACGATTGCATGCAAGTCTGCATACACATGCAAACACACGTGCAGTTAGGACTTTAGCCCACAGTGTGTATGATAGGTATGAACATTACTGCTACACCCCAGCCCTGTGGAATTTGTTTGGTTTTGTTCTTGAAGACATGGCCTTGTCACATTGCCTGGGCTGGCCTCAAACTTCTGCACCCAGGTCATACTCTTCCCTGTGCCTTGTGAGCAGCTGAGACTGCAGGTACAAGGCTTGGATAATATATTTCTTAACAGTTATGAGATTTATATACTAAAAAGTTCAACTTCTGGCATGAGATGAGTGTCTTTTCTCCTTAAAACTGAGTCCTGAGGCTGGATGTCGTGGCACATACCTTTAATCTCAACACTCTGGAGGCAGACACAGATGACTGTGAGTTCAAAGCCAGCCTAGTTTATTTACATAGCAAGTTCCCGGGTCCATAGTGGACCCTGTCTCCTCCCCCTGAAAAAGGCCAGTTCCTGAGCCAGGTTATATACCCATAATCCCAGCATTTAGGAGACTGAGGCAGGAAGAGCATGAATTCAAGGCCATTCTGACATACAGCAAAACATCGTCATGGTCATCATCCCATGTGATTAACTCACAGCCAAGAGCACATCATGAGACCCTGCTAAGGCTGGCCAGTAAGGCTTGAGGAAAGACTGTTCATTCTGCAGAGGAACGTCATTAATCTGGTCACAGTAGAAGTTGCCCTAGGTTTCCATCCAGGAATGCCTGTTCCTGTGCACTCCTTGCTTTGTGTTGGTGATGCTCACACCTAGCAGGCCCACTGTACATTGAGCATGTGAGTGCATATTTTGTATTGTGCTGCTATAGAAGCCTAGGAATGAGGGTTCTTGTTCTTTCACCTCTTCTGCCCCTAACGGCTAGCTAAGGCCTACCCATCTCAGCCTGACTGCATGCAGAGCATGGCACAAAGCCAAGAGACAGTTCAGTTTTGTTTTCCAAGATAGGGTTTCACTATGTAGCCTTGGCTGTCCTGGACCTTGGTCTGTAGACCAGGCTGGCTTTGAACTCAAAGAGATCCACCTGTCTCTGCCCATCAAGTGCTGGGATTAAAGACCTGCACTGCCACCACCCAACCCAGAGTTCAATTTTTGATGTTTCTTAAACTACCTAGTGCTTCCAGTAGGAATGAGTCCCATTGAGCCAGAATCATGGCAGTGAGTTACAGAGCCCTTACCATGGCCCACACCCTAGACCAAACACTGAGTTTCAATTTCACCAGTCTATTGTTTTAGAGGAACTAAGAGCTCAGTGAGTTTACAGCAAGTTCAGTGGTAAAGCCAAGTTAGCAGTCAGAATCATGGTCTCTTCAGCATTATCTGGGCAGTCATGATGCAAAGATCCAGTGCTGCTGTCGAATTCCTTTGTAAGCAGTGAAACCCATTTTCCTGTGCATCTTTGGTTTCTGAGCTGGAAGAAGCCAGGCCCAGCTCCTTGTCACCTCCTAGAGACCTCAGTGCAGCCCCTGGGCTCCAGCTTTGCAGAGATGTTCCGGCCTAGCTGGGGCTGCACAGGCATGGTAGACTACATCTTTCTAAGTGGTGGTTGTCTAGGCCCTCCCTGCTCACACCTTCTCATGGAGACTGCTGACCTGACCCAAAGCTTCCCAGGAAATGGGCTATTCTGGATGTCTCCTTTATGTGAGGAATGTGGTCACAAGATTTATCCAATCAGGGTAAACATTTATGAACTTTGACTGTTAAACCTCACAACAGCATGTTCTAGCCTGTAGGATTTAGACAGTAGTTATGCAGAAAGCAGAAGGGTTAGTGCTGATGGTCCTGCCAAGCGAAACCCTTTCTCTGGTTTCTTTCAGGACTCCACTGGCCTGTTTGGGACAGAGCAACAAGGTAACAGTCCTGCCCTTGGGACTGCAGCCCACATGAGGGAACTTGGTTTTCCAAGGTGGAAACTACCAAGCCCTGTCCTGCAGGCTAAGGCCCAATCTTCTAAATGGGCACGGTTTCTCCTGTCACCTGGGAACAGCCCACATGTGGATGGAAACCCATCAAGGCCTCTGCAGGAGAGCACCAGGCTAGCTGACCCAGCACAAGCTGAGCAAGGGACCCTTGAGGCCAGGATTCCAGGTGATGGCCACTTCAGCAGGGCTCCTGCCATTGTCCAGCCTGCCCAAACCACTCACACTGCCATACCCCAGCCAGAGAGGCCTAGCAAGAAGACCCCAGATCAGCCATGGGCCACAGGGACTCCTCAAGCAGATGGTAGGCCCTTGGCTCAAGGGGCACAGAAGGCCCCATCCATGCAACTGTACAACCTCTTTACAACTGGGGAGGACTTTGAAGATGACCTGTAGCCTTCACTATGACTCGTGTGTGATGTGGTCCCTGTATGCCAGTCCTCCATGCCACAGATGGGGGTGCTCTAGAACAAATAACCTGTCAAACAGACTTCCCTTGTAACAGCAATAGTAAGGACCACAGGGTTGGTTAAAGTGCATTTGCCATTTAATTACAGGCTATTTAAAAATAAGTCAGAGGAAGCTACATGGGGGGTTTGTTTAAAAGCATTAACATTGGATCATTAAAAGGGGAGGCAGTATATGGTGAGAGCCTGCAAAAGTTCTCCATCCCCCAGGAGCCATATATAGGCCCCAGTCGCTGCCACCTTTGACTTACATAATGGTTCTATTTGTTCACTTTTAACAAAAAAAGCACAGAAGGTCATCAGGCTACAATTCTGGACTGCTGGTGCAATGCTGGCAGCAAGAGCAGTGTGCCTCTGCAGCTCCCTGGCAAAGGCCAGACTTAGGAAACACAGAGGAAGCTCAGCCACAAGCACCTGGTTGTGTTCCCAGGTGTCAGCATGTGCACTCTTGGAGCTCTCCCCCCAAGTCACCCAAGTAACTCTCTCCTGCCCTGAAGGGCTTCACACACTCCCACCTGCAGGCTCTGGAAGAATGCCAAGAAACTGGCCTTATAGAGGCCCTGCTGCTCTACTGGATGCAACTACAAGACAAAGGGGTGGGTCACGGGGCTTGGGCACAAGCACTGTCACAATGGCGGAGGGTGCTTTGAATACTGGATTGTGTCCAGAGCGGCTCCGATGTCATAATTCTTGGTCTGTAGAAGCCTGGTGAGCCAGCCACCTTCATCAGAGAAGCCCATGGACAGCATCTGCGAGAGCGACTCGATCAGCCGGGGATCAGCCTCTGCAAAACAATACAGGAAAGTGAGGTGCCCTGTAACACTCCAAACACAGCAAGTCTTGCCTGCCAGGAAGACTCCTCTGTTTGGGCCTTACAGGAACCTCAGAGGTCAGCTAAAGGACCAAATAAATAGTTTGTTTTGTAGGCTTTCCAGTCTGTCACAACTGTTCAACTCTGCCACTGTAGCATAAACAGCCAGAAGGTATGTAAGCAAATGAGTGCGGTTATTTTCTAATAAAGTTTTACTGCCAGATGTGATGGCTCAAGCCTGTAGTTCCAACACTCAAGGGACGGAGGCAAGAAGATCATTCAGGGGCATCCTGGGCAACAATGAAACAGCATCTCAACTCTTCATAGATAAAGAAATGTGACTCTCCTCTGACTGCCTGACTCCCCGCCCTGTTGTTGTTCGGCACATGTGTCATGGTACTCATGTCCCTTGTGGCCGCGCAGAGCTGAAGTAGGAGTCTTCCTCTATTGCTCTCCATGTGACTGAGTTGGGGTCTCAGTGAACTCAGCTTACGAGTTCCATCTTGTCTAGCTAGCCAGCTTTTGGCTTTTTACATGGGTTCTGGGAGCCCAGACTATTGTCCTCATGCTTGCCCAGCAAGCACTGTACCGGACGAGCCAGTTCTCCAGCTCCCCTGCCCCATTCTGCCTCCAGTCCAGAGCCTTGCAAGTGTGAGATAAGCAGTCTGCCATGGAGGTGCAGAGGTCTCACTGTGTAGCCAGGATGGCCTTTAACTCAATAAAGCCCCTCCCCAGACTCTCATACAACCATTTGCTGCCCCTCTGCTCTGCTGCAGAGAAAATAAGCTTTGAAAACCTCAAGGTCAAATCTGGCCCAGAGGTAAGTTATTCACCTGAATACCCTTATCCTGGGAACAGGGGAGCTGGCTGCCTTTTTTGCAGGGTGTACACTTGGGACTAACCAGCCCAGCCCAGCACTTTACATACTGCCTGGCTTCTACTGGGGCCTTGGCCTTGGTGCTAGCCATTAAAATTTGCAACCCCCGAGAAAATGGTGTGTAGGGTCTAAGTTCACTTCATTGGTGCATGCCGGCCCAAAACCAGTGTTGCCTTTTCTGTCACATCTGCCTTCTCAGGACATCTGGGTATTGAGATTTAGAAATTCCTAAAATGAGATGAGATTACTGTTGCTTGATGCAGAGAGAAGAGGTCTTCTAGTTTTCTCTGATGTCAGCTGACAACACCACCAGACAGTGTGCTGCAGGTAAGTCTACAACCCCAAAGCCACCCTGAACTACACAACTAGGTACTGCCTTTAAAAACAAATCCCAGTCAGGCAGTGGTGGCACATGCCTTTGATCCCAGCACAGGCGGATCTCTTGTGAGTTTGAGGCTAGCCTGGTCTACAAGAGCTAACCAGGATAGGCTCCAAAGCTACAGAGAAACCCTGTCTTGAAAAACCAAAAAATAATAAAAAATTTTTTAAAAAATCCCAGCCAGGCAGTGGTGGTGCATGCCTTTAATCCCAGCACTCGGGAGGCAAAGGAAGGCAGATCTGAGTTTGAGGCCAGCGTGGTCTACAAGAGCTAGTTCCAAGACAGGCTCCAAAGCTACAGAGAAACCCTGTGTCGAAAAAACAAACAAAAAATTCCAGACCATGTTACCCTTTTCTGTGCTGCCAAAACCAGACACAGGATAGGTAGGATACTCTGAAAGCAAAGTAAAAGAAACCTCTGGTGACCACATGCCTGGTGGGAGATGTGGGTACACGGCAGCTTCCTTCAGCCCTGTGGGCCCTTCCTGGGAGGGGTCTAGAGAGCTTGGTCCTTCTGATTCTGGCATCTGCAGAGACTGGAGTTCACCTGTGGACGGGTCCACTTCTTTGGAAGACAGATGGGTCCAGTCTTCATCCCCTCCTGAGCAATTATCAGACTCCATCTGTTCCTAGAATATAATCTGCTGTGAGCACAAGCATGAAGTGACTGGCCCCACTATCTGCTCCCAGCCAAGTATGGGAGTCCCAGGATCTCATGTACGTCAGATAAACGCCCCATACAGAGTTACGGCTTCAGACGGGAGTAAGATTTTTCTCTATAGAGTTCTGTCAGAAGGCTCAAGAGACTGAAGACACCAGAGATAACAAGGACAGAACCCTTCTGGCTGCAAGATGGCTAGGGCTGAGGCCAAGATGCCAAGCAGGCCAGTTAAAGGTCATGGGAGAAAGCAGACCTACCTCTGGCTGTCCCACTGACTCCAAAGCAATCTTTCTCATTTGCTCTGTCAGGGACTGTGAGGGGCCTTCGCCGGCCTCATCAGGTTTGCTGACTTCCGAAGAGCAGCTGCTTGGCTGAGTGCTACACTTGTCTTCTGTGCCCACACTGGAACTTTCTGGGGAGGTGGTCATCAGGCGGCTTCTCTTTCCTCCATGTTCCACATCAATGTCAACCTCAATGCCTAGAGAAGGAGGAATAGAGCCATCAAGTCCAGAGGCCTCCCCTGCACGTGTTATCTATCAGTGACTTGGTGGACTGGGACACTGGCAGCTAGCCAACGACACAGAGGCTGGACTCAACCCCAGAACCACATAACCATGTGACATGATAGACCACGTGACAACCCCAACCCCAGCCCTGCTGTCCCCTTCAAAGCCTGTGCTTGTCAAAAGACCCAGTGACAGACAAGAAAGGCCCTGCTACCTTGTGTCCTAGGTGTCAGTGACCACAGTCTCTGAGCCAAACACAGCACTGGGCCACAGTAGTGGCCTTCCTTGGCTGGTTCTCAGAGAACCTACCAATAAAAGACCGTGGCTCTGGTTTACCCCAACCTCTGCCTTCTGAGAGGTTGTGTGCCAACTCCCTTTCCCTCTGGGCCTCTGCTCTCGTACAATCCATTAGCGGCAGTTAGCATGTGAGTCATCCCCTTAGTTCCTCAGAGAGATGAGAAAGGAAAACTCCCAAGACTTCCACAAGAGCTGAAGCAACCCTCAGTTTAAACTACCCAGAGTCTTTTTTTAGAAAGTTTGCTGTCTTGTCAAACTAGGTATTCTACTACTTAGCAACTCCACACACTTCAAAGGCCTTTATCCTCCCAGACAACCTCTGAGCACTGCAAAATAATGCCTGCTCTCTCACGAGAAGATCCCAGTGGTCATGATACGCCCACCACCAGCATAGACTAGTATTAGCTAGTGAGAGCAAGAGGGTTCTGGGAAGCTCCAATAGAAGTCAAAAGCATTGTCATGACAAGGATGGACCAGGAACTGAGCTGAATCCACACTCTCATCTTTCTACTGAAGGACTCACTTTCCAAAATGACTAGTTTTCACACTTAGACACACATAAACACACACTAACTTCAAAGCACCCTTTGCCGGGTATCCTTGCCTCCCCTACACCCAAGGACCACAATTCAGACTTGTCTTGCAGAGAAGCTGCCGCAGCCCCTGAAAGCTCATCTGTTGGATGAAGACAATCTCAAGTGAATTACAATCCTCAAGAGCCCCACTATATCCTAGCATGAGCCCTGCTTCTCCCCCAGCAACAACCCAGTTGATGCTGCGCCACTATGATCTCCTTGGAAAGCAATGAGAGCCTGGTTCTCCAGAGCCTCTTACTCCAACGCCAAGGCCATGCAGTCTGACTGAACTGCTTTATCTGTACTTCGTTTGGTGTCAGGAATCAAAGAGTTTGTTTTTTCTTTTTTGGTTTTTCAAGACAGGGTTTCTCTGTGTAGCTCTGGAGCCTTCCCTGGCAGCCAGGCTGGCCTCGAACTCATAGAGATCCGCCTGCCTCTGCCTCCTGAGTGCTGGGATTAAAGGCGTGTGCCACCATCACCTGGCTAATCGAGGAGTCTTAATACTCTGCCACAGAGCTACACCACATCTCTACGTAAACTATTCAATTTAACTGGAAGACCAAGATGCCACTGCTGCCTCAAAGCTGCATCCTGGGGCAGCATGAGCACAGATGGTCTTGGCTTGCAGCAAGTGGTGGTGATACCTAGTAGCTATAAGGAGGAGGAGAGACTGGAGGGGGTTGGGACACCCTGTCATCAGCATTCCTTCAGTACTGGACACTGGGTACCTCCTAACACTGCAGACATAGAACAGGGTGGACAAGCACTTCCTAAATCACACCAGTGTGCCCCAGAGACAGTACCTAGGGCCACAGTACTGAGAGGTG